CTTACAGCCAAACATACACTAGCTTTAGGCTTTAGGAGGGTCTGTCACCATCTACTGCAGCAGAGACCAAAGACTTCGGTCAATACATCGATCTGCCTTGTGCTTGTACTAGGACGGAGCCAGCAGCTAATTAATTAGCCCAATCAAACTGCAGCTGTTTGGCTACAGTTACCGTTAGCTTCTGTTAGGTTCTTATCCCCCGAACTGTGAGGAGAAAGTGTTGAATCTGTCGTCTGCCACGAGCTTTGATAGAAAACCTGATTATCGTGGTGCTAAAAACAGATGATGAAATTATAAAAAATTAACAGATCAGAATGATTGTTTACACTGAGTTCTCATTAAAAATACATCAGAGCGTGCGCTGCTAGATCTGTCGCCCTGGAATCAGATCCTTGTTAGACGTAGATGATGTAGATTATTGGGCTACAGATGGCCAACGGCTACAGATCATTAGAGTGGAACTATTAGAGTTAAACTAATGTGGGGTGATTTCTAGTTCAAACAACCCAGAGCGACTTAGAGTCTGCCAACACCGATGTTCATTAAAAAACTCCAAAATGAACATTTTACTTGAATAGAAAGGACATTAGAGTCTGCCAACACCGATGTTCATTTAAAAAACTCCAAAATGAACATGAATAGAAAGGACTTTTTTTAGAAGATTCAGTTCCACTTTAACCATTCTCTACAGCTGCTGCAAAAATCCCAACTATTACTTTTTCAGTTTGATGGTTTGTACTCTCCCTGACCTCGTACCGATGTAGGTCAGTCACCACAGCAGACTAAATAAACCAAATAGTTAGTCTGAGCCCAAGAAATTCACATTATAATAAGTTCAAGATCAAGATCTTGATCTGATTCATTTTAATAATCTAAGGCAGTGTTTCCCAAACTTTTTTTCTGGGGACCCATATTTTAAAAGTCACAAACCTCCATGACCCAAATCAATAGACATTATTTATAAACTCATGGGAAACATGATGAGAGACGACCCAAAAAATAATCTCTTGTGACCCACCTGAGGGTCGCGACCCAGCCTTTGGGGAAACAATGATCTAAAGGACCACAGATATAAATGTGAGTGTGAACGACTGTCCGTCTCCATATTTGTTCCCCTCATTGACCAGCGAACTGTAGAGGGCGAAGCCTGCCCTCTAGCACTGACTGCTGGGATTGGCTACAGCTCCTGTAGTGATCGTGAAATGAATTAAACGCTAGAAGAGGAATGACTGAATGTTGCAAAAAAAAGTCAGCAACACTGAATTATAAATGTAATTACGACAATGCATCTCTCAAAACACGGCCCTGAAATCCATTGTTGAAGGATGACAGAGGAACAGCCAGGGTGTTAAGATGCAGGGCAGCAGCTCGAGTCAACATTACCATTAAAACACAAACACACACACACACAACGTGTGTCACCTGCTGGCACAGTGACGTGCTTAGTCACCCGACTGCAAGAATGGAGCTGAATTATTAACCATCTTATTATTACACTGTCCCTCCTCCGCCGTGACAGACACACAAGCCTTTCCTCGTCTTTCATTCACCTGCTCCAACATTTCCTTTTCCTTTCAGCAGGTGGTGCCAAACACATAAGTCTGTTTTTACACATATATTGTGGCATAATTCCATATATTATAATTTTATTACAACGTCCCTTTTTCCATAACGCTTCTTTGTGCGTTAACACGATTTCACCTGACCTGAGGTTTATTACTGTCGTAGCATCGTTTCTGCATTTTTGCACAGCTAGAACGACTCAAACGCTGGATGTCGACAGCCTAACTCAACTTTGGACTTTGTAGCTTGAGCCTACACCTTATGCAAACCCATGTGATCTGTGATACGACTGGCCAACATTTGTTCTTCTGCTCATAACGTTGAGCGTAACGACTGGCCAACATTTGTTCTTCTGCTCGTAACGTTGAGCATTTCCCGGGTTTTTGAAGGACACACAACAGATCCACTAGAAAATTCATCTTTGTGCTGAATCACACACACAGAATAAGAAATATTTTGTCGGCTGCACTTGCTGCATAAAGACGATGAACAGGTTCACATCAGGGCACAGAGACCGTTGGGATGAAAACACAGTGGACTCCCACCAAACTCCTTCAAATTTGGTAACGACTGATGTCAATACGCCCAAATGTTCCTGGCTACGAAAGTTAGGAGGGGTTGAATTGAAATGGAGATTTGCGAGCCAATGACTGACATCATTTATTGGTTAGGCTTTCTTTTAAAGCTGTAGTACGCAGGACTGCCTTTCAGTTGTTTGTAGACGGTCTCACCTTCCTCTGAATACATTTGTTTTTCCCTTTCTGTTGTGGCTCGTCCTCTGGATCATATATTTACCAGTGTAAAATAGACCCAGTCGGTGGTCGTAATGGAACTCACAAGGTTTAGATCTGCCAGTAAACAACTGTCAGCAGAGACTTGGTTCGAGCCTCAGTGAAGAATGCGACTTATGCCACTTATACTCAGGTGTGACTTATATATTAAAATATATAATATATATAATTTCACGTTTGTTATTGACAGCCACTAGAGGGCACTCTAGGCTTGTGTAACAGTATCTGCTACTCCTGTACCACTGAGAATGTACATGTTAGCCGACTTACAGTACGGAAAATACAGTAACCGTTCTCCAACTTGTTAAAATTTATGTTGATTTTTTTTTATGTCGTAAACTGAAAAAACAGTCCTTATATAGACGTAGCCATAGACATCAACGACCAAATTTCTCATCACCACTTAATATTTTCAACCTGTGAACAAACAGAAACTCATTCAACGTCTCATTGTGAAACCATTTCCTCTGGGGCTGCAGGTGCCAAACATTGCGAACATCCGCTTCCTTCCCCTCGCAGCTCTGTCTTGTTTGAACAAAACCATAAGGAACGGGGATGTAAAAAAACCCGGGCGGAGCGGCTGAATGATAAAGAGTCATTACTGGAACAGCTTGATAAAGCCGGGGATGATGCACCGCGCCGTCGGCTCTGAGCACCTTTCCACAACACTGTGCAGTGGAGAGCCGGCACACTTCATTAATCACAGTGAACACTGTGAAGCTGTCCCATCATGTTGTGAAGCATGACTGAAAACTTTATGGAGTGATCCAGACCAGATATGGTACAGGTGTACAAAGGGAAGGGAAAGAATTGTAAATATTAAAAGTAAAAACTCCACAGTACATATCCTGGTAGGCGGCTAGCATTGGACTGTTGAAGCTGTTAGCAAGTGAGCTAACAACATGTGAAAAACCTATCAACGTACTGAATTAATTGACTTTTTTTGAAACAAAGATAATCGCTTTTTAGTTTTTGTCCTTGGCGTTGGGGTGAATACCCAAAGGATCTACAGTTAGTTTTTTATGTGGAGAAAATATCACTAAATGTAGAAAAAACATGGCGCAGAACTTTAGCCAAACGTGTAACAGACTGCTGCCTTATCTTCTCTTATTTAGGTACTAAAATATAAACTGAAACTAAATTTAATTTGCAAATACAAACACATTTACTGCCGACAAAACACAGCATCTTCAGGATCTCATTATTATTTTTTTCATACATTTTGTTGTCTTACCTTTCCTAGTGCCTTGCTGCTACTGTCCCAGCCCCTCTTTTCCAGAGATGGAGGCACCTGGTAAACATCCTGCCCAACTCCTGTACCACCACCGAGAGCTGCTCCCTTGCCTGGCACTGGGCCTAAAGACGGAGGCACCTGGTAGATGTCCTTTCCAGGCAACTGGTACTGCCTCTGAGCTAAAGCTGGGGCCTTGCTGGGAGGTCCTGGCTGAGCCTGTGGGCTGGGACCAACTGGGCCAGACGGCACCTGGTACACACTTTGAGGGTTTGGTTTTGGGGAGTGGGAGGGCGGCATCATGTAGACCGAGTCAGGGTTAGGCTTAGCGGGGACTGGGGTGGAATAGGCGGAGTGGATGGACGTGTACTGAACCCCTGGGAGGGGCTTGTTGGCAAACCCAGGGGATGATGTAGCAATGGCGCCAGGCAAGGCTGCAGGTGTTGGTTTGGCATAAGCACTTTGAGCAGGGAGGGGTCTCTGGGCCAGTGAAGTGGGACATGGAGCTATGGGATCTTGCGATGTGGGTGTGGTCTGTTGATGCTGCTGCTTGTTGTCATACATGCCAACCAGGATCTTGAGGCGGTTCCCTGGCACGATGCCTTGGCGACCATGGAGCGAGCAGAGCCACCAGCCGTCCAGGCCTTGTGTGTCCCGCTCCAGCACCGTCATTATGTCACCCTTGCGAAAGGACAGCTCATCTGGAGACTCTGCCACGTTGTCGTACAACGCCTTGGCCAACACGTTCTGTGAGAACAGCAAAAAAAACAAAAAAACAAATGAAAGTGTTATATAAGTATTTTTTACATTTTTTCTGGTACTAAAATATACACACAATATACTGATATACTGATAAGCAACAGCTATCCTAAATTTAACGAAGAGAGAACTCATGAGGATAAAGTTCTATCGATGTATTTAATATATTGAAGCCTGATGCAAAAAAGACTAACTTTTTCCCGATTACTGTAGAGCTAATCTATCTATCTAATATATTGAAGCCTGATGCAAACAAGACTAACATTTTTTCCCCGATTATTGTAGAAAACAGAGGACATCGTTGGGAATGTCCAAAGAATGACAAGAAAAAAGGGTCCAAAAGACAAAAAGACCATTTGAAAATTGAAGAATGACAAGAAAAAAGGGTCCAAAAAGACTGTTTGAAAATTGTTCCAGGGTTGACTTTTGGTCCATCTGTGGTTGCTCAGTTTTTCAATACCAAAGCATAAAGGATGAGTTTAAACAGATCTGCATTTGTTTATGTGAATATTTAAGTTCCCAAAAATACTTTTTCATAGGACAAAAAAGGTGAAAAATAATTAAACCAGAACCAATCCTTCATTGATGCCTTTGATGTCATTGTGTTTTGCGAGCTTGTTGAGTCCATTAGTCATTGCTCTTATCAGCCTGTTTTTGTTGTCGCCCATTAGTGTGTGTGGACTGTGTAAAATATAACCCAGTCTGGATGAATCACAGTCAAACCACTAATGGTACGAGTCTAAAAAAACAAAAAAACAAAACAGAAAATAACGTCTTCTGTAATCGCTAGTCATTAAAAGCTCCAGTGGTTCTGCTTCATTCAGTCAGCGTATGAGTTTACATTTATCATGTAGCTGAACTTCAGTGTGACTTCACCACAATCACAGCAGTCTACACACAGCCAGCAGAGATCCGTGAAAACGCCGACTAAAACCTGACGTGGATCAATTTAAAGTTTTTATTGACCAATAGGACGTCAGGTCACGTACACATATTCCAGTTCATTTCCCCACATGCGGCGGCGCTCCAATCAGAAGGAAGGAAGGGGCAAAGTACAAGTGCAGTGAACTGCTGTTACTGTTTGGATAAGGTGGGAAAACTCCACACAGTATTACGACACGCCGTTCTGAGGGGGAGAAAAAACTAAAACTAAAGTTTTGGATTTACGTTCACTTTTCTGTTTGCTGTCGAGCAAGTGGCTGCAAAAAGAACTGGGAAGAGAACTTAATAATGAACTATTTAAACCGTGGTGGATGAACAGCAGCAACAACAACAACAACAACAACAACAACAACAACAGTAGTCGACTGTGATGTTTTCTTCCAGGAGAGAATTCAACATTGTGTTGGACAGCAAAGAAGGCGTGTCCGTCTGTGTTCCACCGTGCAGCTGACAGCATAAGCGTGACATCATCGTAATGGCACAGCGCTCGTTTGGGCCAAATCCACATATAAAGGCGCACACACCCGCCATCTCCACGGAAACCTAGCATGCAAACAGAAACCCCTCCCCACGGTCCCTCTGGAAGTCTCCAAAACTAACCCAAATATTTGCCGTCGACATCCCCACCTCGGCCCGGTCTCCTCCTCCTCCTGTGTCTGTGAGTTCCACCCCAACCATCACAGACTGGTACAGCCTGTACTGGCCGCGTGCCAGACAACCTCACACACTCACACACACACACACACAAAACACTGCCAATCTACATTAAGGCTGCATAGTTAGCCTCCAGATTTACAGCTGGACTTTTCTTTCACTGTGCTAAAGGCCAGCTCTCGTCCCAGACCTAGATTTACAGACAGCCTCGTCTCATGGATTCACTTCATTTAGTCACTCTGTAGATATAAAGAGAAAAGAAGTTTTCTTTCCACTCCATTACACATCAGTTAACGTCGGCTCCATCACTGGCTCCCAATCTTTTTTTTTCCCCCTGGGGTTTTTTTTCCCCCCTTTCCCCCCCCCCCCCAGACACAGAGATATACCCATGATTCTTCAAAAAGTGGTCCATTAAAATGTCTAATAAGGTTCTAGTTTAATCTCCTCAGAGCTTCAATACAGAAGAGCGCCACCAACCTTACACCCCAACATCACTGTTGTCACTTCTTTTCTCAGCCTCCCAGCTGATGTCCAATAACTACTCACAACAGGTTAGTTAACCAGCCAGGTAGGGTTTGGAATCTCCTTTGAAATGTTTACTGCTCCGTCCCAGTCTGGGACAGATCCTGTCTACCTTGGAGTCGACTAATTGTCTGAATAATTCCCATGTTGCATGTCTACGGAGCGTGTAAGTAGATTTAACACCAACAAACATGGAGAGAACCGGCCATGTCCAAACCAAAGGAGCGTGAAGATGCAAAGACACAAACCAGCGAGGCAGTGAAACCACAATTCCACCGTGTGTCTCCTTATCATTAATATATTGTTTGTTTGGTTTTTCATTAAAAACAGACTACAAGGTTCGGTCACAGCATCCTGCAAACTGTTAGACAACAAACCAGCGTTATTAATCGTCTTCTTCTAAGGTGTAATTGCACGTCCTCTGTTAAATGGTTTCTGTTAAGTGGTTTTCTGCAGCGGCCGCTCTGAGTCCTGTTTGTGCCGAGCTCACATTCTGTCGGCCACATGTTCTCAGCACGGGGAGCAGAAACAGCGCAGTCAGCTGTATCACTGCCATAACGCTAACTGCTGAGTAGGTGAAGGCACCTCACACAACCTCGACGCTACAAACGGGGTTTTAGAACTCTCATTTTTGACTGCTCAATCTGAAGCAGATCATTTTCCTTCAGTTTAACTCCTCTTCATAAAGGACTTCTCTTCTTCTCTTCTCTCACACCAACAACCCCTCGTTCCTCCTGGAGTCATTTTAAAGATCTTCTTCTTTGCTTCTCACTTTACATCCTATTCACCAAACCTTAGCTTTTTTCTAATCTGTTCATTTCTATCTCAGTCACTGCCGTAAACATCTCAGCGTATTTTTGTTTTGTTTTTTTCAGCAGTTCTTCTGAATGGGTTTCACAGTGGATTTCAGGCCCTCCTCTCTTTCTTCTTTGTGAACTCGCCCTGAAAAATCCGTCTTTAAGTTTCTTAAAAATGAAGCCATCATCTATAAAAAAGTTCACTTTTAAATATGACCAGACTTTTAATATAGCTGAAAACACATTCATCCTCAAAGTTCTCTATTCTCTCGTACGCTTTTTACCACTTTTTCCTCATCCATAAAACATTGATTTTTCTCACTCATCTCTCTTTTTTTTTAGTTAGTCTCAGCACATTGCCTCATCTCCTTTGGTCAATTTACATATCATTTTCCATCAGAGTCAGATTAGTTTCTAGACCACATTAATAATAAAAAACCACTTCATATCCACATTTACAGCCCAGCTTTGTCAGGCTTTAACAGGGTCACTGTCAGGACTCAATGGCTGGACAATCATTAGTGTCCATTTTCACATGAACTACAGCCGCCTATTCAGATTCACTGTGTGTCAGTGATAATTTCTCGGGGGGATGTCACCGCGTCCGTTCTCGTGTCTCTACCGCAGCTTTTCAATTTCTGCCTAACAACCCCGATGCTCAGCGGCTCGGCCTCTCTTCGTGTGAGCGCTGAGAGGATGATGAATGCAGCTCTCTGTCTCCTCTCCGGGGTCACCCTATCTCACGTACATAC